TTTGGCAGGCCTAGGCTGGATTTGAACCCGCCACCTTAGGTGTATGTGGCTGGCGCCTTAGCCAGTTGAGCCACAGGCACTGAGCCACCCCGTGGGTTGTTCAATCTGCTGCCAACTCTACTATAGCCTGCCTTCCATGAGAGAGGCAGCAGAATTTGTATTTGCTCATCAGAGAGTAGGTGCTGGATGAGCAATGGGTACTTTTCAATTAGGCAAAAGCTTACACAAAAGTTAAAAAAAAAATTGTTTTTAAATAGAGGAGAAAAAGCCCCCCCCCCCAAAAAAAAGAACAGAAAAAGCTTACATGAGCTCTAAGATAAATATATGAAGACACTTTCTAATGAGAACTCTTGTTTGATTTTGTGGAAATAAAACTTTTTTTTAATATTTTAATATTATATAGAATTTAGTATATTGTTTTCCTTGTAGCTCATGGGTGTTTGGTGTGTTATTCACTAGTGCTGTGGAGGAAGACATGGGTCATATGTCGCCCTGGTGGTAGGAGTGTTCTAATGTCTGGCACCAAGAACTGTACTGAACCCCCCTATACTGACCCTGCCCTGCTTGTCCTCTGCCTGCTAGACGGCGATGTCGACACGGCCACCTGCAGACCCTGCCCCGTCCTGCCCACGGTCTCTGCCCACCTCTTCTACCTCAGCTCTGGCACCTGCAAGTGGCTTGGGCCCAGGACCCTCACCTGCCCGGTCCTCTCCTGTGAGCAGACCCTCCTCAGCAGCCAACAAGGCAGTGTCTCCGGTCTCCTCTCGAGCTCCAGGGACTGTGGCGTCAGTCCCCCCAAAACCACAGAGCCCTGCTCAGAATGCTGTCTCTTCTCAGGACAGTTCCCAGGAGAAGCTGGCAGAGCAGATAGCACTGGTAAGCATGTTGACAGAAAGTATAATGTGTGCTCCAGTTTGTGAAGCTTATTTGAGTTTAATTTTTTTTTTTTTTTTTGAGACAGTCTCATTTTGTCACCCTTGGTAGAGTGCTTTGGCATCATAGCTCACAGCAACCTCAAACTCTTGGGCTTAAGCTATTCTCTTGCCCAGGCTGGTCTCGAACCTGTGAGCTCAGACTATCCACCCACCTCAGCCTCCCAAGTGCTGAGATTACAGGTGTGAGCCACTGCACCTGGCCCCTTGAGTTTAATGTTTAAGAACGTGATTGTTTAAAGCTGAACATTTAGGCTCAACTCCTGTGGCTCAAGCAGCTAAGGCGCTAGCCACATACACCTGAGCTGATCCAGCCGGGCCCACCAAACAACAATGATGGATGCAACCAAAAATAGCTAGGCGTTGTAGCAGGTGCCTGTAATCCCAGCTACTTGGGAGGCGGAGGCAGGAGACTCACTTGAGCCCAGGATTTGGAAGTTGCTGTGAGCTGTGATGCCATGGCACTCTACCCAGGGCGACAGCTTGAGGCTCTGTCTCAAAATAAAGCTGAACATTTAATAATAATGACAAATGAAGTTGGTTTGTGATCATTAGAAACAACATTAAAACCAAGCAGTTTAACCTTTTTGGTGAAAGCAGACTTATTGAGAGAATCCTTTTTTTTTTTTTTTTTTTTTTTTTTTTTGAGACAGAGTCTCCACTATGTTACCCTTGGTAGGTGCCGTGGCATCATAGCTCACAGCAACCTCAAACTCTTGGGCTTGAGTGATTCTCCTGCCTCAGCCTCCCGAGTAGCTGGGACTATAGGCACCAAACACAGTACCTGGCTATTTTTGTTGTTGTTGTTGCATTTGTCATTGTTGGTTAGCAGGCCTGGGCCAGGCTTGAACCCGTCAGCTTTGGTGTATGTGGCTGGCGCTCTAGTCGCTGAGTTATAGGCACCAAGCCTCCATTTTCTTAAAGTGGAAGCAGTCCTTCCATAGTGGTCATAGCTGAGGAGCAGGAAAGGCAAGTAGGTGGCAATTAGGCTGAGGTGACAAAACGGAGCGCTGGAGCTGTTTGGTCCATGAATCCTCTGCATGCCCCAGTCTGTTGCCCTGTCTTTGAGAGCCACTGCCTGGCACAGAGCACTTCACTTTTGTGGGTGACTATGCATTTACTTTTTCAGTTTCATTAGGGGACTGAAAAGAAACATACATCAATACAGACGTCATCAACCCCATCAACCCAGTGTTCCTCGTGGTCCAGTTTTAACATAATGCTCAGTCTTGTTTCATCTGTTCTTCTCCCTTCCTGATTGTTGGGAAGCAAATTCCAGGCATCACATGGTTTCCCTTGTATATACTATGGTATTAACATTGTGTCTTCCCAAGTTATTTTTTAGAGATGGGGTGTAGTTGTTGCTCTAGCGTTTAAGTCTTGTGGGAGCATCCATGCTCTTTCCTCAGTGCCCTCCTGGAGGCACTGTAATCTTCGTATCCAAGTCTCGTTCTTTTTTTGTTTTTTGAGTTCCTGGGTCTGTCCCATCCAAACACTGTGGAAGCAAGACACAGATCTGTGGGACTGCCAAATGCACTGCGTAGGTTTTGTCTTTGTTACTAAATTGTGATTGTAAGCTCGGCGCCTGTGGCTCAAGTGGCTTAGGCGCCAGCCACATACACCTAAGGTGGCGGGTTTGAATCTAGCCTGGGCCCGCCAAAAACAACAGTGACAGCTCCAACCAAAAAAATAGCCAGGCGTTGTGCCGGGCGCCTGTAGTCCCAGCTACTTGGGAGGCAGAGGCAGGAGACTTGCTTGAGCCCAGGAGTTGGAGGTTGCTGTGAGTTGTGATGCCATGGCACTCTACCCAGGGGGATAGCTTGAGGCTCTGTCTCAAAAAATAAAATAAAATAAATTGTGATTGCTGCATGTACATTCTCCCGTCAGCGTTTAACTGAGCCTTTCTTATAGCAGCATTTCACGTGTTTGGGGTCTGACTTGGTGGCCACACTCAGGCATCACATGCTGACTCTGCCCCCACTTATGCTGCTCACAGGAGAACCAGGTCCATCAGCGCATAGCAGACTTAAGGAAGGAGGGTCTGTGGTCTCTACGGCGGCTGCCAAAGCTTCAGGAGGCCCTACGCCCTAAATCCCACTGGGACTACCTGCTGGAAGAGGTGCAATGGATGGCCACAGACTTTGCCCAGGAGCGCAGGTGGAAGGTGGCTGCTGCAAAGAAGGTCTGTTTGCATTACAGCAGCCATTATTTTGTGCCTGCCAGTGTGGCTGGTGTTGGAATGGTATAAGGGGTGGGTGGGTCTCCAAATCAGCTCTCTGAAGGTTTTTGGCTTGTGACATGTGGGCACGGGATGTCCCTGTTGCCTGGAGAATGACAGTGTCATTTAAGTGACCTCTGAAACAGAGTCCTCAAGAGCTAAGTGTGTGCTGTAGGGATCAGACATGTTCCTGCTACAGCTCTGGTGAGAGACTCAGGTTCCTGTTTCTTCTCTCTTCTCTCTTCCCTTCTCTTCCCTTCCCTCCTCCCTTCCCTTCCCTTCCCTCCCCTCCCATGTCCCCTCCCCTCTCTTTCCCTCCCTTTCCCTTCTTTCTCTTCTTGAGACAAAATCTTACTCTGCCCCCAGGGTTGAGTGCCATGGCATTAAAGCATACAGCAACCTCAAATCTTGGGCTTAAGCAATCCTCTTGCCTTAGCTTTCCAAGTAGCTGGGACTATAGGTGCCTGCCCCAATGACCAGCTGATTTTTCTGTTTTTAGTGGCGATAGTGTCTTGCTCTCAAGCTCCTGAGCTCAAGCAATCCACTCACCTCAGCCTCCCAAAGTGCTAGGAGTAAGGCATGAGCCACCATACCCAGCCCAGGTTCCTTTTCTTGCCAGGCATACCTGGCAGTTAGAATCAGGTGCCTCCAGTGCCAGACTGGTGCCCAGGACTGACCCTCTTCAGTAAGAAGGCAGCAGGAGTTGATCCAGGGCCGCAGGGGAGCCATTCGTAGGCCTTTCTACCTGGGCTTTGTCCTTCCAGTTCTGTTTCCTTTCCATACAGGTGGTGGGAAGCCTTCAGGAGTGGGAGCAGCTGTCCTTTCTGTGTGGGAATAGCTATGATCTCTGGTTGCTCCCCCTTTGTCACATGTCACTGTTTCAGTGTTGAGAACCCTAGACTTGCTCTTCATATTTCCTCTACTCTGAAGATTAGGGGTCAGTCCTTTGTCCTCTGTCCTGATTGCTCCTCTTCCCTGAATTCTCCCTTCTCTGTTCCCATTGAGGTTTGGCAGAGAAGAGCTGACATCAGGTGTGGGGAGCAGTGGGGTCGAGAGTATAGGGTATTGAATCAAGTGCATGGGCATTTCAGAAAAACTCACTTTTTCTGAAGTTGTTCTTTTTTTTACAAAGTCTTTCTTTTTTTACATGTTTAAGATCAAGAAGCTGATCTTGAACATGTGGACACTGGACTAAACAGGGTTGGGAGCTGAGCATGTGGGCACTGGGCCATGCAGGGTTGGTTTGGTTCCTTGTGTTGGGTGGTAGGGTGGAGCTGAGGAGCAACTGGTTACATGCTAGGACCTTCTCTGAACGATGAGTGCCTGTAGCAGACTTGCTGCCCTGCCTCACACCTGTCTCCTCTCATCGTGCTGGGCAGGGAGCATGGGGGGCTGGCCCAGATGCATCCTGTGTTGAGGACAGTGAGCCCTATGGGGGTGCATGGGGGCTGTGTGCAGCCAGAGCTGGGGTGGGGCAGCAGGGCTCTGCTGATTGTTCTCATTTTCAGTCTACTTCTCCACACGTCTCTGAGGTATGTAAAGAGTATAACTTCTGGAAAGCAGTTTGGCAATTTAAAGCAGTAGTCTTAAAAATCTGAATTATCCTAATCCAACAGTTTTTATACCTAGGAATTAAAATAAATTTTGTAGGCTCGGCGCCTGTGGCTCAAGTGGCTAAGGCGCCAGCCACATACACCTAAGGTGGCGAGTTCGAATCCAGCCTGGGCCCACCAAACAACAATAATGGCTGCAACCAAAAAATAGCCGGGCATTGTGGCAGGCGCCTGTGGTCCCAGCTACTTGGGAGGCTGAGGCAGGAGACTCGCTTGAGCCCAGGAGTTGGAGGTTGCTGTGAGCGTGATGCCATGGCACTCTAACCAGGGGAATAGCTTGAGGCTCCGTCTCAAAAAAAAAAAAAATAAATTTTGTAGCCTTCATGAAACAAAATACTATTTAATCCAATAGTTGATGTATGTTTATTGATTGTAAAGATATTAGTCACATATTAAATTGGACAAGAAGATTGTAGTATAATATGGTATCTCATTTTTTGCGAAAAATACAGGCATTAGTAACATAATACTTCCTGGAAAAATCAAGCAAAATATTGATAGTGAGTTTTGCTTGTAATCATTTTTCCTAGTGTGTTCTAAGAGCATATGAGGGTGTATCTGATGATCAATTTTGTAATTTTAGGCTGGGAAGGAGTTTTTAAAAACTCCTGTATACTTTTTTTTAAAAACTCTGTATACTTTTTTTCTTAGCGTGACATAGAATACAGCATAAAGTTCTTAAATTTTTATTTATTAGCTTGTTAGAACTGTAGCACGCCATCATGAAGAAAAGAAGCTTCGTGAGGAAAGAGGAAAGAAAGAAGAACAGAACAGATTAAGGCGTATCGCTGCCTCAACTGCGCGAGAGATAGAATACTTTTGGTCAAATATTGAACAGGTAAATTCTGCAGTGTTGATGGGGTCATAAAAATCATATGGTCTCTGAGCTAGTGAGGCTCAAGGTAGACAGCACAGGCGCCATCATTTAGGAAGGTCAGAGACATGATGCCTTGGCCCCTGTTTGCATCTTCGTGGCTATTAGATAATTACAAGGTTTGGGATAAGCTGGTTCTTGCTACTGTACTTGTCTTTGTATATGGAAGCACAGTTACCTGTTACTCATGCACTTTGAGGTACTCGAGGACCATGGTCAGGGGCCTTCAGATTGTCCTTTCTGGTATTAGTTTTCATCACTAAAGGCCACTTATTTCTAGAATGTAAAAAATTTTAATTCTTATCTTACAACCTAATAGAATTTGGGTAGCATACAGTTAGATTTAACAGAAATGAAAAAGCACCAAATTGAAAATTTCTCTTTTGAGGTAATTTGAAATGGGAGTGCACAACTGTGCTTTTAGACTATGAATTTTAATGTTTTATATGCAGAACTTCTATAATTTACTCCTTAATAATGTGCTCATTTTTCTCTTTGTATTTAGGTTGTGGAAATAAAACTACAAGTAGAATTAGAAGAAAAAAGAAAAAAAGCCTTAAATTTACAGAAAGTTTCCAGGAGAGGTATGATACTATTTAAAAAAAAAAAAGCCTTGGTGTTTTCCAGATAGCACCTTGTTCAGATTCTCTGCTTACCAGGCAATTTACTGGTATCATAGCTTCCTACAGAGCCTGCCAGGGAGGTTCTTTGCACATAAGCTTTTGCAAATACCTGGTTCTGCCTGATTATCACCTTTCTCTTTGAGTAGCCATTTTAGTTTTGTATTTCAGTTCTTTTGAGATGTGCTAGTGTGAGTTAGAACACCCAAGTTGATTACCTATGGGACACTCAGAATTGTGGTTCTGAGCCTACGCCCTGCACTTAGTCTCTGGACACTGAGTGAACTCATTGAGGCATTTGCTGTGTGCTGTACCCCTGGTATCTCCCTGTGTGGGGTATCTGCATGTTTTTTCCTTGAGACATTTCTGCTTTAGCTGTCTCTGCTCATTAGACATCATTAGACAACATGGTACATGCCAGGCACCAGTGGAGGCAGCATTCATCATGTCATTGGATTCTCAGGCTGTCCGTCCCTAGGAGGGGTGGAAGGGCATAATGCTATTGTTGATGATGAAACTGAGCCTGAAAGGTGGCCTGTGCTGAAAGTCACAGAATACAAGATAGTAAAAACCACCACTCTCAGCCAGCACAGTGGTGGTGCCTGTAGTTCTAGCTACTCTGGAGGCTGAGATGGGAGGATCATTTGAGTCCAGGAATACAGCCTGGGCAACGTAGCAAGACCCTGTCTCAAAAAAAAAAAAAAAAATCCCACCAATAGGAAAGCCTAAACCCACTGCCTTGGGTCAGTAGAAGGAGGAGATAGGACTTACGTTTCCTACTTTCCTTGCATGTGGGTGGTGGTGGCAGGGCACATCTTAGGTAAGCAGGAATTCCCTTGCTGACTGTGAAAAATGTTACTGCCACAATTTTAGTGAAAACTAATCATGTACATTGTCTCTTTAGGAAAAGAGTTGAAACCTAAGGGATTTGATACATTACCAGAAAATTTTCTGGTAAGTTCAGGATGATTATACTTTGTAAGACAGAATGGAAACTACATGAATAAAGTACAGTGCTCTAATAAAATAGAGCTATTTGTTTTCATCTGGAGAAGTGTGTAAATTATGAATATTATGTCCCTTCTTTAAACTGGCACTTTATAGCTTTAGTCTCACATGGGTATTAATTTGTCAATTTGGGAAGATAAAACTGAACTCAACTGAGGCATTTGCCATGTGGGGATCCCCAGGGCATTGTCTATGCAGGGGATCTGTAGACTCACATTACTCTCCCAGTACCCTGAACGGAGGCTGAGGAGGGCCCACCAAGCTTGCCACAGGGATTCCCACTGTCCTGAGGGCACGTGCTGACATTTTTGACATGGTTTCCCCTCTTGTCTGTTTACATCTCATGTTTGTGATCTTTCTGTATTTCAGGATTCAGGAATGTCTGGAAGAAAAAGAAAAGCTAGCACATCTTTAACTGATGATGAAGGTCTGTTCCTTCCCTTCTTGTGTTTACTGTCTGCAAGACTCTCGATGCAGCCACATGTGGGATGCTCAGTGCTGCTGGGACAGCAGAGCTACTGGAACTCTGGCTTTAGTCTTGCAAATCTAAACCAGTTGGAAGGTGTACCTTGGTGTTTATCTAGGCTTGTCTCTCAGCATGCAGAGTAATTTTAGTATCTGCAGAGGACTTTGGATGTTTACTGGAGCACCATGGTTATATCTGCTTTTGTGAGTTTTGGGGACTCAGGCATATCTTTGCAGCACTGGGGCCACATTTGGTGTTACAGGTCCAGATCTTCCTGCCCAGAGGGTGGCCCCAGTGGTGGGTGGTAGGGAGAGGCAGGGAGAGGCTTGTGTGCATTTTAGATGATGGTGCCTTATCTGGATGAGAACAGATACATGACCACAGGGAGTGTATGAGCTGGGGATATTCTGTGGCCATCAGCTTATGACCTGTTTCTAAACCCATGTGGATTGAGGTTCAGACACCCTCAGGACTGGATTCTGGTGTTAGGGACAGAGAAAAGGGCAGGAGTAATGGGTTTGAGGACACTTGTCTGACACTGGTTTTCTAGCCAGGTTCCAGGTGAGGCCTATAGCTTTCCTGGCCAGCATCAGCATGGGGTTATTGGCTCAATTTAGCAAAGAATAGTAATTTGCCCAGATTTTGAAAGATTAATGTTTCAATATGTATTGATTCTTACTTGGAAGTCAGAGAGAGTTGGTCAGATTTTTGGCTTGAAACTCTATCAGGATTAAGCTCTGTTGCATGTAACAGGAGCAAACAAAGTAAATAGTGTCTCAGCTGAGCCAGAAGCCTAGGGATATGTGACCCAGCACTGGTGTGGCGTCTTGAAAGTGTTCTCAGTGGTCCTTGCTTCTCCTGTCTGTTAGCTCTTCTGTCCTGGTTCCCAGCCTTCTGGTCAGCTACTCTTCTGGACAGGTGGCTCCTGTAGCTTCAGCTACTCTCTGGGGTTGGTGGCTCTTGCAGTCCAAGCTACTCTCTTGCATGGGTGGTTCTTAGAGCTACAGTTACTCTCCAGAGTGGGTGACTCCTACAGCTTCAGTTACTCCATGGGGTGGGTGGCTCTTGGAGCTCCAGCTATTCTCCAGGGCAGGTGGCTCTTGCAGCTTTGGTTAGTCTCTGAGGCAAGGGTGAGTCAGGACCAGCTGGTATGCTGAAGGCCGTCCTGGAAGGCCCAGCAGTGCTTCTGCCTAAAGTCCCTGGTCAGCTGGTCCTCTGCCTTGGGAGCTGGGGCATGCGACTCAGTACAAATAGCAGTGGACCAAGGGGAAAGTGGAGGTAGATGCTTTGGGGCAGCTTGAAGTGTTGGCCATGCACATTATTTAAAATGATTTTCTTTGTAGGTATTGAAGTAGTAAGGGAGCACATAAGCAGGGTGAATTAGTTTGGGGAAATTGGAGGCTCAGTAGCAGCTTCTTTGCATAGTGTACATGGGGTAGTTTTGTCATTCTAAGCTTTATTGAGGAAGATTCTATTCCATTTACTGCCACTATTAGATTTATATTCTATTCATACCTGGGTCTTATAAATAACAGTACAGTTTATAACTAAGCTGTAAAGATGAGCAGTCATGTCCCTTTCTGCTTTACCCCCAAAACGCACTAAACACGGAACAGTTTAAATTTATACCTGGAGTGAAGATCAGAGGTGCCTCTGCCCCCCACTGAGTGCTCCTCTGTGCCCATGTGTGCTATTCCCATAGAACTGGTGCAGAGTCTCAGATGACATCCTCCTATACTTGTGGATGAATTTAGTGCTAACCCGGGCAGTGAGAGAAACACTGGAGAATATGATAGATTTGTGTATTTCTTGTCATCTGGAAAATAATTAGATTATTTTTTCACAAGGAGCACATTTTCCTGGTCTTGGATTCTGGTAATGGTTGTTGAGTTTGTGTAGATTCACTTCTCCACTTTGCATGTTTTCTCACATTAAGAGCAAATTTATGTATAGTCATGCATCACATGATGAGGGAGACATTCTAAGAAATACTGTTAGGTGATTGTCCTGGCACAAACCTGGGTGGTGTAGCTTACTGTATGTCTCAGCTATGTGGTATGGCCTGTTGCTCCCTGGCAGCAAGCCTGGGCAGTACATTCTGTGCTGCTGTAAGGCAGTGATCAGTATTTCTGCATCTCAACACAGAAAAGGTACAGTGAAAGTACAGCATTATAATTTTATGGGACCACTATTTTTTTTTTTTT